TTCTGTGGCTGTTACTACTGACCCCGTATTCAGATATTCTTGAGAAACAAGCTTCGAATAAAGGTCAGTAAAGTACCTATCATTTAGAGCATTGGAATAAAGTACATCACATCACTGTCTAGCCATACCTATCTGTCAAATGAAATATACTTGTTTGTAAGGCAGCAAACAAAGCACCCCTCTCGGCATGTTCCATTTGCCACTTGGCTTCATGGAAAAGGGGATGGTGTTGAAAGCACTGGAGGCAAGGCACAGGCTGGTCAGTCTTGGCGGCCTGGCAGGGAGGGGCCCCCTGCGTCCTCACATTCCCATTCCGAGCTCTGCTCCTCAGGAGACGGATGCGATCAGTCACCTCCCGTACGGTTTGAAAAAGGCTTGTCTCACTGGCGAGCAAACTGTTATTTAAGTACACAATCCACTAGACTACTGAGACAGTTTTGCCAAACTTATCCAAGTATTCTAACACGCTTAAAGATGGCATAAATATCATTTACGGCAAGCAGTTTTCTTCAGACTCTGTGGAATGTCTTCCTGCCGCCTGATCTAAGTGTCCCAGTTTACATTATGGCCTTTACTGCCTCTGTTTGATGGAGTGATCAGTAAAAATTTAATGATACTATAAAATAATAAAAATGTCATTAATTTACCACGGATCTTGGATACAGTGGCTGTAAAGTTACATTAATAAACAGAATATTTTTTACAACAAAAAGCATTGTTACGTGGGAACATATAAATAACACACATAAATTTAAGAGCAATTTTACTGTTAGCACACACATTATTATGGAATAGCCAATAAGTGTATAAAACATAGTATATAAAATTTTATTAAAATATACTGTGCCCATCAAAAATTCAGCTTTTATCTAAGCTCAAAGAAAAGCCATTATTGTGTGCTTACTGTTTCGTAGCTGTTCTTTCCCCATCACAATTTTACATTTGTTGCCAGTAAGAGGAAGTTGATTTTTTTTTTCCTTGCCTAGATTGAAACAGACCTCTGTTCTTTCAGTTACCCCAAATCCATTCTCTCTCTCCACTGATGCAAAGACAACATTGATCAATCTTGCCATGGGAGGGAGGGAAAAGTTGCTAATTTAATGCAAAGTTAAAAATGATGCCTGAGGAGTTGAATGGTTTGTGCAGTGACTCTGGAAATGGGGCTAATAATGCAGCAGTCTATCTGTCACCAGTGAGGCCCCTCGCCATTGCCTTGGATAACACGTGAAGGTGATGGATGCCTGAGTCTTGTGGCTTATAACATTTAACATTCATCAACTCTCACTAACGGGGGCTTTATCATTTAAATATCTTTATTTAATATGCAACATCTACCTCATACATTATAATTTCAAAGCACTTAGCCAAAGTCCTGCAACTCGGCAGAGCTGACTTTCATTTCTTCCAATAACTTTTATGTCGCCTGCATGTTTGAGGCTGACAGTGTTTAAGTGTCTGGTCACAGAGTTGCATGTAACGTGCACATTTCTCTGTCAACATGAAGATGGGGGGATTTTCCTGGAGGGTTGAGATTAAGTTGGCATGGGGGCATTTTGCTTATATCTCCAAAATAATCTTAGTTGGGAACTATGTACATGGTGAGAGCTCGTTCAAATGCATGAAAAAATTTAGAGTTAAGACCTTACCACCAGCAGTTTATATTTGTTCCATACAGGGACTTAATGACTAAAAGTTGACGCCTCTTGTCACTCACGTAACCTTGAACATCTCTCTGTGCCCATGTTCCCATCCTGTATCTACTAGGCTTGTGTTCAATCTCACCAGTAAAATCTTTGCTTCGCTCAGCTGCCCAGAGCTAACTTGTTAGACATCAGGCCCTCTTATCTGATGGGTATGTGGCTGGCAAATAAATATTCCAAGCTATTCTTTGAAGAACAGAAGGAAATCTTCTGGGAGACGAGGTAGAAATGTATATGAAAGGGCATGGCTTGGCAGGGTCCTACTTTAATCTCAAATGCAGGTGCTTAATATTACCACGTATAAAATGCAGCCCACCACCCAAAACAGTTTTTTTCCCCCATTGATTTATTTTCTGTCTATTTAACAAGTATTTCACGGGGTATTCTTCCTTGACTTCTGCCGTGTCAAAATATTGATGTTTTATAAGGAAAGTAGCTCTGCAGAAGGATTTTTTTCAGTGAAGTCAGAAAACCGCATGGCTTCAGAGACATCGTGAACGTGTTGTCGAACGTTCTGAAATTTTTTTTTTTTTGATGAAAAAACAAGCTGATGCTACTGAATTGTGAGCACACTTCATTTTTTTTTTTTTTGAAAAGGAAATATATCATCATCGTGTAAGCTTTGTTGTCTTAGGATTTTACAAACCATGGCATGTAATTTTCCCTCTTCTCCTTCCTTGTCAAAATATTGATATTCTTTCAGGAACTTTATTTATTTTTTTTACTGAGAATATTTCACAGTAAAATCAAAGAGAATGACTGACTAGAAAGACACTTGGAATATGCATACTGATGGGTAGTAAGGTCTGTTGATTTTCAGAGAAAGTTGTTTCTCTCCTCCTCCCGCCTCCTCCCATAAAAATACAGTTAAAGGTTGTTCTTCCAAGAAGATGGCAGGTGTCACATGAGAATCTTTTTGCATTTAACACAGGGAAAGGGTTCACATGCAAATGTCTGAAATTTGAAACAACATGATAAAACAGAGGTTGCACATTTTGCTTTCCTTTGTACTACTCATCTTCACTTTACCTCTCTTCACACCAGGGCAAACAAGAGTGCTCCTCAAGAATAGAAATTGGCTTATTAAAAGCAGCTGTCCTTGCCCTAGCCCACTGGTTCTCAATCTTTCTAATGCCGCGACCCTTTAGTACAGTTCTTCATGTTGTGGTGACCCCCAACCATAAAATTATCTTCGTTGCTACTTCATAACTGTAATTTTGCTATGATTATGGATCGTAATGTAAATATTTGTGTTTTTTGATGGTCTTAGGCTTTATAGCAGTGATTCAAAGGTTGAGAACCGCCAGCAGGGTCACCTAAGACCATCGGAAAACACAGATATTTACATTACAATCCATAACCATAGCAAAATTACAATTATGAAGTAGCAATGAAGATAATTTTTTTGGTTGGGGGTCACCACAACATGAGGAACTGTATTAAAGGGTTGCACCATTAGAAAGGTTGAAAACCACTGCCCTAGCCAGTTTGGCCCAATGGATAGAGCGTCACCCTGCAGACTAAAGTGTCCTGGGTTCGATTTGGGTCAAGGGCATGTACCTCGGTTGCAGGGTCCTCCCAGGCCTGGGCCCTGGTCAGGGCACATGCAGGAGGCAATCAATCGATGTGTTTCTCTCACATCAATATTTCTCTCTGTCTTTCCCTCTCTCTTCCACTCTCTCTAAAAATCAATGGAAAAATATCCTCTGATGAGGATCTAAAAAAAAAAAAAAACAAAAACAAAAAAACAGCTGTCTCCCTCTGACAATGTGTGATACCCCGGCATGGCTCCTGGGTGCCTCTTGTTGTGTCTTGTGTCTGAGTCAATTTGTTCTTGCGCAGCACTGTTTTCACCTACAAAGATATGGGGAACTGTATCTAATTTGCTTTGTATTTTCATTCTTTTTAAATTAATATTTCAGAGGTTTCCCTACATTGTAACTAGTTAGTATTAATGACCCAGTTGGTGAAATTCATGATTATAATTTTGTTGCAAATCTTTCAGAGAAATGGTGCTAGGTTAAAGCAAGGTTTATGCTGTGTTTTCTTCCAACATAGATTTCAACACATTCCATGCTGAAGGGGAACTGGAAGACTCCTTACACCATTTGACTGATGGGAATTAATTATAGAAATATAATGATATTCAAAAATAATCATATTAGAAAGCACAAACGTAGTGAGACTGTGCAAATGAGAGACAGCCTCTATCAAGTAATTGTATGTTTGCTTTTAAGAATATCTCCAAGTTTCTAAACATGTTACAGAGGGAACACTTGGGGTATTTCCATCTAATACCAAACGTGCTCAGTCCAGAACTAGGTCATTGAACAATAGACTGCACACCAATCAGCCACTCGATTGCTGCATAATGCATTAAGTATAACATGCAGAAACCATTCCCGGGGCCGCAAGCTGCTACTTCATGTCTGTAAATTCAAGCTGACATGACATTTAATATTGTTTCATAGTAATGAACAACAAGGTTTCATTCATTCATAAGCACAACACAAGGCCAAGTGTGAGTCTGGAGAGTATCAGGGAGGCGAGAAGGGGACACGGGCTGTTTTCGTAGATAAGAACACCCTGTTAATGATGGCCAGTGAGCCCTCTGCCACCGGTCTGGAGAGCTGCGAGGGGGCGTTCCCTGTGGCGTTTCAGATTCCCGCTTCTAGAAGAACCCATTAACAAGTAAAACACCTTCGGGCTTCCCTCCTATAGCGGCAGGAGTAGTCCACTTTCTTGACTCAGTGGCTGGCCAGCAGTATGTCCTTCTTTTCTCGCCCCAGGAATTTATGGTTGAAACTCCTAGGCAAAATAATAGTGTCCATGCATGCTGCCATCTAGTTGGCCTGCTTTGAAATAATTGTTTCTGGAATCCTGACTTGTATTTTACCAGTGCCACATAGGATCTCTAAATGGGACCATGCCCCTCCCGTTAAATAGCAGTACATCTATTTGGAAGGGAACTACTCTACAAGTGTGGCACTTTGGACTGGAATTGCAATTCCTTTTAGATTCCTGGGGCCAACACAGCAGCAAGAAGATGCGCAGTTCAGCGCTGGCAGGTTTCCAGCCCAGGTCCCCTTCTCTTCCAGGTCCTGTGGTGTAGAACCTGTCAGCCCTGTCAGGGCCAGCGCCTGGCTCCCACAGAATCTTCCTGAAAGATGTGCCGAGCCCATGGTGAACAGAAATGATGTTTGCACATCTAAGTTCCACCCACTAAGTGAGACAGAAAAGGGAAGGAGACGTGGCTGTTTGGGAAGCTAGAATAAGACTCTGATTTGTTCTTTCCTCTAGGAAAGGACGCGCTTTGAGAGCTTGGGGCCCCCGCTAACAGGCAAGTCGAGCGAAGATGGGAAGCTGGGTCCAGGTGTCATCGATCTCACGCGGCCGGAAGACGCGGAGGGTGAGTGGCTTTCCCTGCAGCTCTTTCCCTCTGCCCTGGGTGTTCCTGGAGCTGTGTCTGCACTCTGGCATCTTCCTGGTCTTTCTTGGGAGAATCAGCTCGGCTTTCTTGACAAAGCAGAGCAAATGCTAGTCTTCATTATATGTTATAATCAAAGACTTTGAGATGCAGCTAATTCCAATATTACTGGACACTCAGCAATCCACATACTTCAAGGTGCCATTCTAGTTTTAAACTAAAAGGACCCTCTGCATTCCAACGAACAACAGAATTCTGTTTCAATCACTTCCTTGCATTCTTGTTTAAAAAAAAAAAAAAAAGGAAAAAAGGACAAACATATAAAGGAGGATTTTTTTTTTAACCCCAAATTAAGTGGTCCTCAGGTGCAATCCAACCATTTTGGGAACTCAATGGTGGTTTGAGCAGATTTGGCATAAAATTAATAATGACTTGAGTAAGGCCCAGCCTGGGTGTGGGTGCTAACCACGATTGAAGTCTTTGGAAGGCTGGAAGGAGAGACCAGCTTCACTCTCAGCGGGTTTGCTGGCAGCACTAGCAATGCCTGTCCACTCCTCTGCCCTCTCTGTTTGTTTGTTTTAAATGCACAGCAGCAAATCGGCAGAAATTGCTCCCCAGAGGAAGGGTACAATTTACGAGTTAGGCCAGCACTTCGGTGGTGATGTTGCCTGGTTATTTATTGTGTCATCACGGAATAGGGGCTGGTTTTCCCGTTAGCTGTTCCTGTTATAGATTCCCTCCCTCCACCCCCAACAGTCAGGGAAGATTAATCAGTTCTCTCTAGAGTCACACAATACTTCACCTATCTTGGGTCTCAGCTAAAGTCCTTCTTTAGCTTCTGGGATGGAATCCTTTCTGTTATCCCTTTTACTGGCAGTGTTTGTCCCAGGACCCTAATCCCCTGAAAACGCATGAAGACATTTCATAGCAGCATGTGAACTGGGCATAGCTTCCGGTGATATTCGGCCATCCCAGGCAGATCAGAATCCTTGGCTCGAGCACTAAGGATGGGTAAAGTCAGATGTTAGGAGGCACCTCAGAAGGTTTCCAGAAGACAGACTTTGCATACCAGTAGGAGAGACTAATGTTTAGTGATAATCCTTGGGGCAAAGTATTAAAATAAACTCTGATTGGTGTCTGTGTGTGTGCGCGTGTGAGCGTGTGCATGCATGCATAGGGGTAGGGTGGGTAGAGGAGGGAAGAGGAAGAGGAAAAGGAGGATGAGAAAGAGGGGTAAAAAGGACTCAAAACAAGAAATATGCCCACTGTCGTCTATGAAAATGTGCACAAGAGCACATTGATATCACTGTTCTATAAACCCTTGAAGTGCAGGTTTTTCTCTGGTGAGGACTGAGGTTCCTTGGTCTATGGAACCAATAGTCAGGTCTGGCCCATCTCAATTTTGTTGGAAGGCTGTACTGCAAAGTAACTAAATCTTTGACCATATATAATGAAATATTTTTTATCGCTTTGAGTTATTCATTCTGTTTGTTTTCAATAGACTAGGAGTTATAGAATTCTCTCCTTATCCTATTATAACAGAGTTTTCATAATCTGTAGTTTATCTTTCTTCATTTGGTGTTTTAGCTCTATAATGGGTATAGATATAGTAAATTATCTCCTACTAATGCTAACAATCTAGTTAATGATACTATGTTCTGGGTAAGTTAAAAATTATTAACCATTACGAGAGGCAAAAATATGAAAATCTTAACTATAGAAAAACGTTATGTAGAAGCATATTTGGAAATTCTACTCAATACCAGGTTATCTGGATTCAAATCAACTTCCTGATTACATTTTGTTGTTATTATTTTGTGTGTGTGTATATGGTGGGGGGCAAGTAACAAATATTTTATTAAGCACTTATATACCAGGGAATGTGCTACGTTTTTCACATACATACTATGTTTTTTATTTACACCTCATACAACTCTGTAAAGAATGTATGATTATTTTTTCCATTTTATGGATGAGAAAATTAAGGCTGAGAGTAATTAAGTAACCTGTCACAGGTCACACAGCTAATAAGTGCAGAGCTGCGAATTGATACCAGGCAGCCTTGGCTCTTAAATTCTGTGCCACCGCATACTGCATACCCTGTGTACATAGATATACTGTATTTGTGATGCCTGCATTTTGTGAACAAACTTCCTGTGACCTTCCTCAGAATGGCCCATTTCCTCTTCCCTAAATATAGCAAGACATGCCCCATCCAGCTCTCCTGTTACTCTGTCACATGAAACAGCAGTGTCTGTTGAGTGTAATGGTAGAAGGGCTGTCGTGGCCCAGGAGCTTAAGGAGCGTGTGCAAAGCTCCCTTCAGAAGCTTGCCCAGCATTGCCATTGAACCTCATGAGCTTTTGGGGGACTGTGAGCTCATGAATGGAATCAGATTACATGCTCTGATTCGGACAGAAGCCGGTGCTTTTGTGAGGGCTGCTGGGATGGGTAGCTGCCTTCTGCAGACTTCAGGGTATTTCCTGAAGACTGTTCAAATGTGAGCTGATTGCAGAGCCTGCTGGAGTTACAGTTCATATTAGAGTCCGAGTAGATATGAGGTACACAGAATACTTGCTCCTCATTGTTCCTTTCCCTTAGCAGAAAGAGTAAGAGGGGACTGAAATGAAAAGATAGCTAAAGCATTTATAAGCTCCTTGTGTTAGCTTGTGATCTTCAAAGCAAGCAAACAACCATTGGGTGCTACTGTGTACCAGTCCCTGAACCAGACACTGGATGACCAAAGGAAACAAAGCAGACATATTCCTGACCTTTTGGGGTTTAAATACTAGTGAAGAAAGACAGAAAATTAAAAGGAAAATGCACATGTACAGACAGACAGATGGAATTATCATTGAGAAAAATACCCACAGAGATTCAGAGCTCAGATGACAGGTGAGTTTGGTAGCTGCAGAATGCCACTCCTTCTCCGTCCATACATGATTGTTTCCATGTTTCCTCTGGCTTTGGAACAGAAAAAGTTAATTTTTTTCAGCTTTATTGAGATATGATAGAGAACACTGTGTAAATTTAAGGTGTACAATGTGATTGTTTCATACGTGTATGTAATAGGAATTGATTACCACAATAAGGTTAGCCAACACATTGTCACCTGCCATGATTATCTTTGTGTGTGTGTGTGTGTGTGAGAGAGAGAGAGAGAGAGAGAGAGAGAGAGAGAGAGAGAGAGAAATTTAAGATCTATTCCCTTGACAACTTCATATGTATAATGCAGTATTGTTAACTACAGTCACCATACTGTATATCAGATCCCAGGAGGTCATTCATCTTACAACTGAAGTTCGTACCCTTTGGCTAAGGTCTATCCACTCTCCCCAGACCCCAGCCCCTGGCAACCACCATTCTACTCTCCCTTTCTGAGTTTGGCCTCTTTCAATTGCACGTGTAAGTGAGAAAACACAGTATTTATCTTTTCCTGCCTGCCTTATTTGACTTAACCTAATGCCTTCAAGGTCCATCACGTGGATGAATAACATTCCACCGTATTTATATCACATTTTCTTCATCCATTCATCTGTTAGTGTGCACTTATGTTCTTTCCATGTCTTGGCTATTGTGAGTAACGCAGAACAGCAATCTTTTTAAAAAAAAAAAAATATTTTTATTTGTATTGATTTCAGAGAGAAAGGGAAAAGCAGAGAGAGAGAGAGAGAGAGAGAGAGAGAGAGAGAGAGAGAGAGAGAGAGGGAGAGAAACATCAGTGATGAGAGGGAGTCATTGATTGGCTGCCTCCTGCACACCAGATCGAGCCCACCATGTGCCCTGATCGGGAATTGAAACCTGGACTCCTGTTCATAGGTTGATGCTCAACCACTGAGCCACACTGGCTAGGTGCAGAACAGCAATCTTCAGGTACTCTTCCCTTGATCACTTCTACCCCACACTCCTGTAGGGCTTCTGAGGTGACTAAAGTAAGTCAGCCTGGGAAATCGGCACTGCTCCAGACCGGCTTCTGTGGAAAACGTCTGCCCGTCATGAAAAGGCCAATATCGCTTAGTAAGCAACTTGTAGACCTGCTCCCCAGCTCTGAGCGTGGGACCAGCAAGGGAAAGGTCATCGAAATAGGCAGCTGTGCATGCGTATTAACCACTCATCAAAATCAAATGACAAAACGATAAGCCAGGAAAACAGAAATTAAAAATATAAAAGGCAAATGCCTTCAAAATTTTATTTTTAAAGTCCAGCTGTTATTTGGCTTGAATATGACAAGACAGCATTTCTTGTTCACCATGATATTTATAAAACTACAAATTCATTGGTGCTGGGGGTTTAGGAAACACGTTTAAGGTCTTGTTAATCTTTGAAGCAGTTGAAGGCTTCGTGTGTTTTGAGCAACAAAATTGGTTCGCTCTTATATGAGACATGCAAGGAATAGAGGTCTCAATTAGCTGAGTCTGTTACCATGTATTAAGAACGACAAACAGCTGTTTAACTTTTTATGCACTTTTCATATAGAGTTTTCCCTCACCTTGTTCTCCTTAGGCAAGAGTGCAATTCTTAACCCAACTCTCCTAATTTTGAGGTTGCAAAGACAGTAGAAAGGGCTCTGGTCTGGTTATTGGGGGATTTGGACTTAAGCTCTTTTGCTAAATGATGGCAAACAAGGGACTAATTTCTCTGAATTTAAGTTTTCATCTTTTATTTTTTATTATATTATTTAATTTTTATTTTATTTTTGGATCACCATTTATCCCCTCTATGCTCTCTTCCACCACCACCCTCCCTCCACTCCTACCTCCCAACCTCCCCTCCTCCCCTCTCCCCACTACTACCACCACCAGCACTGTGTGCCTGCTCTCTATGAGTCTGTCTCTATTTTGGTTGGTAGTTCAGTTTATTCATTAAATATATGTATGGATAAAATAATATGGTACTTTTTTTTATCTTTTAAAAGAGGTATGTTGAGTTCCATTATCTCTGTGGTCCCTTCCAAACCCAAGATGCCATTAAGATACTCATAAA